AACTATATGAGTATTCTTTCCAAGAACAGAGATAGAAAGCATGGGACATGGTAAGCACCAAATAACATCATAAAATAAATAAAAATGACAATATTTTAACTGAGCCAAAGTGACTGGTTATAGATATAACATTTATTACAAAATTAGAAATCTGATCACCTACTAGGCAAAGCACAAATCAAAGTAAATGCTGAATTAAAAGAAGGGATAAAAATGAAAACGAAATATGGCATGTAATTAGAGAAGCCCCAACCTGACTTGTTTAAAGACTGTCATGTCTGAAACACGGATAAAGGACAAAAGCTAAAACATTAACTTTGATTACTGTCATTTCCTAGTGAAGTCTGACAGATGCAAAACAGTTGACACAAGGAAGCTAAATTACCTGAGCTGGAAAAAATTTAATCTCCTTTTTAAGCAGAAACACATTTCAGCCAAGGGCAATGTAGGTCAAAAGTACAAATTTATTTACAAAACACTACTAACAAGAATTGCAAATTATAAGCAATAAGTTCACAAAACAGCAAAAAGCAATTGAGAAAACAAGCCTATAGAGAGCTGGGCTTGAGGTCCAACTAAAATAGATTGTGCAGAGAATATAAAGCTTAAAAAGGAATAATGAACATATGTAAAAATGGAACATTTTTACAATGAATTATTCTCACTGGCAATACCAACATATTTGGACTCTCTACCCAATGTAATATGTTAAACACTGATAATTGTCTTTAAGAAAATGAAGTCAGCAAAAGCAACTGAATCTGATCAAGTACACCCAGAAACACAATTTGAAAAGCAAACCCAAGGATTTATCTTCAAAATGTGCCTTAGGCACAGAGAGGTGAAGGGATACAGTACTTTCCTCACAGTAAGCCAGGGAAGTAGGTAGTATAGGTATTATTATCCACAATTTTATAAATAAGGAAATTGCACTTCAAAGAAAGGAAGTTACTTGTCCACATCCACACAGCTAGCAAGTGTTAGAGCTGCAACAATGGCCTTTTGTAAATCTGTAGGGATGGGATTGCATAAAGGTCACTCTACTTAGAAGTTAAGAGAACCTGAATAAATGGGGAGAACTATTTACCTAAGCTGGGAAAGGCTTAGTCAACCTTTGACAGTCAAGATATGTCCATCATTTCAGCTCTACATATGATAATTGAGAACTTTAAAAATCTGTTTTACCACAAACAAGAACTTAGTGGGCAATCCAACATGGGGCAGGGGCAGGGGTTGAGTTTGGATTTTGAAATAAGAAGAGACAGCAATCTGTTGTTGATAATTGGAAGGAGCTTATGTAGCTATAGACAAGATCCAGGAATGATAACTCTTCAACTGGGGCCACATGGCTTCAAGAGGGAACAGGCTCAGATGGAAATCCAAAACAATAATTGAAGGGAAAAGCTTCACCTAGGCTGAACTAACCTAACAATTGCCAAGTATGCTTCAGACAAACCAATCCAAACAGAGAGAAATGGGTCATTTTATAGACGCATAGATGTGTATGTGTGTATGTGTGTATGTATGTGTATATATACATACACATATATGTATATAAATATATATATATATAATTTCAGTCCAATCTCCTAACTTTATAGATAAGGAAACTAAGGCCCAGAGGGGTTAACCTCTTTGACAAAGAATATACTTTCTGTTTTGGTTTTGTATTCCCAGCACTAAACACAATGCCTTCCATAGAGTATATATTTAATAAATACTTGTTGGTTTGAATTAGATGGGATTGGAACCAGAGAAAAGCTGCTAGCATATTAGGCATATCCATAATGGAGAATTTACAGAAAGATGTAGAAAGACACAACCAACAATGACCCAAAATTAGAAGATATAGCAGAGTTACATCTGTGGAGGGTCATTGATTATCCATCAAAATAAGGGCAGAGACCTTGGAGAAACAGTGTCTTTTGAAATGTGGTGGTGATAATAGCTCCTCCTAATTCCACGGCAAAATCTGGAAAGCTAAGACCCTTAGAGTTGAAAACCCAAGTTAAGGAGAGACAGGAGTCAAGTAGGACCACTGATCCCTTCCCCTGAATTTCCAAGGGGGGTCTTCTACAACCAATATCAATAACCATTTCTTAGGTCTGACAGCAAGCTTCATCAGGAAATCATTTCTTATTCTTAAATCAACATTTCCATGCTACAATAGGAGCCCAATTCTTTTTGTTCTATCCTCAAGGGATATGGAGAAGAGCCAATACCTTTACTCTGGAGAAAAGCCCTTCTTATAGCTGAAGAGTGTTGCTAAGTATGACTTAATCATGTAGCTAGGGCAGCTAGGTGGCATAGTGAACAGAGCACCAGTCCTGAAGTCAGAGAGATTCCTCTTCCTGAGTCAAAATCTGGACTCAGATACTTACTAGCTGTGTGACCCTGGGCAAGTCACTTGACCCTGTTTTACTGAGATTCCTCATCTACAATGAGCTGGAGAAGGAAATGGCAAACCACTCCAGTATCTTTGCCAAAAAAAACCCAAATGGGGCCATGGAGAGTCGGACACGACTGAAATGACTGAACAACAACAAATCATGTGGATTCAACCTATTTTTCCAGGTTTACTTCACAATATTCACCATCACTCTATCTCCCAGCCAAGCTGGACCACTCACTGTTGTACCAATATATCCGGGGATTTCCTACTTTCATTGCACCATTCTCAATGCCCAGAAAGCTCATCTCTATCAGGGACTATCTTACGCCTTCCTTTGTATCCCCAGATCTTAGCACAATGCCCAGCACATAGTAGGCATTTAATAAGTGCTGACTGACTGACTGACTGTTACAGGCCTAGGTAAGGCAGCCTTAAAGGGTAAGGACCACCAGAAACTATGCTTGCCATGGTAGTAGGAAAAATTCTTGCCAGGCACATGCTTAGTCATGAAAGGCAGCTATGGTTACACTTCAGGTACAGCAGAGAAGGAGATCCCTCCCAATGCAAATGCAATCAGAGAGAACAGGAGTCACCAGGTGTCTACACCGCTGAAGAGAAATAAGCATCTATACTTGTTATAAGGGGCACGTGTCATGTCTCTGCACTCGGCACAGCACGGGGATAGGGGGGAGAGTGACCAGCAAGAAGAATTCCTCTAGATAAAGACTTCCTGGCAGAAAGAAGGCATGGGTTTAGCCTGACTGGTATTTCTTACCTATGTGTGACCCTGGGCAAGTATGCTTCACCTCTTTGGGCCTCAGTTTCCTCATGTGTACAATACAGGGGCTAGGCTATATGATCCTTACGGTTCCTTATGTCTCTATATCCTATGGTTTTTTTGCTCTATTATCCTCCAAAAAAGACAGGAAACCATCATGCCAGGGTGGGGTAGCAGACAGCCCAGCCATTTGCTAGGAGACAACTGATTTTAATTATTTCCAGCAGGGAACTGAAAGCAGAATTATGTAAGAAAGCATAAAATTTTCTTATCTTAGCAATCTTGAGACTAGCCAACTTAGGTCTCAAAAATGCAGAACAAGTATAACACCACTGAGGTGCATTATTCATATAGCAGAAGACAAATCATAGAATCAAGGGTATTCCTGCACTCACAGTGGATTTTGGTCTCAGTCAGACGTCAGTAAACATTTATTAAGCATCTACTATGTGGTGGGCACTATGCTAAGCCCTAGGGATACAAAGAAAGGGAAAAGACAGTCAGTCCCTGCTCTCAAAGAACTCACAGGCTGATGGGGAGACAACTACGTACAAATTATATACGGGGTAAATTGGAGATAATCAACCGAGGGAAGGCATTAGAATTAAGGGGGATTAGGAAAGGAATCCTATGAAAGGCGAGATTTTAGCTGGTACTTGAAGGGAGCCAGGGAAGACTGGAGGGAGAGATAAGAAGGGAGAGAAGTCCAGGTATGGAGAACCAGTCAGAATGCCCAGAGTCAGGTGGCCTCACAGACTCATATGTGAACTGGTATAATTCCAAAGAGTTTTCTCCTGGAGGACTTTAAATCCAGGAGGGTTCTTTCTATCTCTCTGCATTCTCAGACAGCAGAGATTCTCAGTTGAGAATTTGTTTGTTTTTTTAATCCATAGGAGCAAGGGAGTGGCATGACCTGACTTTCTCATGTCACAACAGAAATTGGACTATGATGAGATATGGCCCTGGCCTCTGCTTACTCAGTACATACCTGAGAAGTTACAGGCTGAGGCTTTCCCTCTCGTTATCATAGAGGGAAGTATCAATCAAGAAACAAAGCCCTGACACCGTAATGAAATCCTGTCCATTCTTCAAGACCAACATCAAATGCTACCTACCTCTTCCACCAAAGCTTGCCTGACCTCTACAGGCAGAAATTAATTTTCCCATCCCAGAACTCTCAAAATACTTTCTGCTTCTCACATATAAGATATTCTCTTTTTTTTATTACATTTATTTGTTTGTGTCTTATCTCCTTTACTAGGATGTGAGCTGTTGAAGGCAAAGGCTATGCTTTATTTCATCCTAATTATTTCTGCTAGAAGAGGAAATATGGCATAGTAAATAAATAACTTTGGAGTCAGGAAGACCTGAGTTCAAGTCCTTCCCCAAATATGTACCAGTGTATGACTCTGGACAAATCACTTAACCTCTCTGAGCCCCACATAATTCTCTGAGACTAGAAATTAAATGAGTAAATTCCAGAGCAGGTGCTCACCTGCACCACTAGGGGAAGTTTCCTCATGAGGAGACTTCTTTACCAATGAAATCATAGATCTGATTCTCTCCACTCCCTCCAAAAAAAAAAAAAAATCTCAGCACCTGTGCACTATTTTGCACATAAGTAGATGCTTTTAAAATTTCTGAGTGGATGAATAATCAACTAATAACCAAAGATCATAAGGAAAGAGAAAGAAGAAAATGACCCTCACTTGCCAAGAGTTATGAAGAGCATGTCAATTACATGATTCTGTAGTAAACAAAATAAAATCATGAAAATATGAAAATAAGTGGTGAAAAAATAACACAAATTTGAGTCACCTGAGAACTTACCTATAATCAAGGTCAATGATACAGTTGTAACATAATAACCAAACACCAAAGGTTTGTACCAAATTTCTACACCAACAATAGCCGTCAGCAGATACCCTGTTACCAGTGTCTACAAAAAAAAGGAAATTAACTTGTATCATTTGCAAATCAACATACAAACAATGTATTAACTTATTTTCATTTGAATTTGAAAGGGAGAAGGTATGTTTTACTATGTCACAGTTGAAGAATCTCATTAAGTGTTTTCCATTTTTAATTTTTTCCATCCTTGTGTATTCTCAAATTATTTTCTTCTTACTCTTTGCTACAATATTTTCTTCCCCTCTTATTGTATAGTCATAATAGATAACCAGTTTCATAAGTTTACTAAATTAATCCATCTCATTGAAATGGGAACAACCCCCTTGAAAGTCTACATATTTTATTTCACTAACAGTCCAAGCATGGCCTGGAATCCCACTCAAACCTATTATTCAAATAAGGTCTGTCAGATAGTAAAAGTCTTCTATAATCTTTATTTGTGATTATGTGTGCAATCTTTACATTTGGAATTTCACTTGTCTTACAACTATTATGACAATGCCATACCCTCACCCTAAACACTGAGCAAAATCCATTTTTTAAATATTTCAAATTCTTTTAAAAGTTGAAAAAGTAAAAACAAACAAAATAAGCAGAACAAAAAAAAATACCCCTTAAGATATTTTGTTTAACATATTGATAATGATTCTGTTGGAACATTTTCATGAATACACAAAAAAAAATCCCCATTGACCAGACATGGCAAGAATAGATGTGGCTATAACCAAGTGGAAGTAAAAAAGAAAAGAAAGGGTGGTTGGATATGTGTATATGCATAATATGCATACAGGTTATCCCAAAATCTTAGTGCAGTTTTAAGCTACCTTTGTGTCTTCTATAGACTTATATATAACATATAAATCTTACATAGACTTACAAGTCTACATAAGTTCATGTAGTTCTTGACTTGAAAACACTTAGAACCACCTCATACATTCAAAGAAAGGTGGTCCAGAGCTTACACCATACCCTCTGTGGAAGCCAACTATCTTTTGTTCACCAATTCTGAACCCCTGAGAAGTGATGGAGGTAGAGGTATAGAAGGAAGGTATTTTTAGTTATGAAAAAGTGAAAGTTGAAAGAGTTAACATTATCAGTATCCATTATACCCTTCCAATGGAACCTCTGATCCTGGATGCTACTTTTGGGCTTTGTGGGGATCTGGTGATAGAGTTCTGAAGACTGGTGTTCCCAGACATTAAAATACATTTTCATACAAATACATTAGAAATGATTGTTAAGTGCAAGTTAAGTGATACTATGGATATTTTACTTGAGGTACACCAAGAGCTAAATAACATGTGTGAAGCTGGTGGGAAAACAACTACTGTTTTTAATTTGAATATTGTATTTAGGGGACAATAATGACTAGAATATTTGTTGTTATTCAGTTGTTTCTGTTGTGTACGACTCTTAGTTGATCCCATTTGGGGTTTTCTTGGCAAAGATACTGGAGTGGTTTGCCATTTCCTTCTCCAGATGAGGAAACTGAGGCAAACAGGGTCAAGTGACTTGCCCAGGATCAGCTAGGAAGTGCCTGAGGCCAGATTTGAATTCATATCTTCCTGATTTCAGGCCCAGTGCTCTGTCCACTGCACCGTCTAGCTGCCTGACAAACTTTATAACCAAGTCATAATTCTTTGGTTCCAGTATCTCAATTACCATTTTAAGAAACATATGCAGGAATACTATTGTTCCATAAGAAATGATGGACAGCTTCTAAGGAAACTGGGAATTCCTCTAGGAACTAGTGTAGATTGAAGAAGGAAAGCTAGAAAAATTTTATACAATGACAACAACATTGTAGAGAAAAATAACTTCAAAAGACTTTAAAACAATGATCAAGGAATGATAAACTTTAAGCCCAAAAGAATGAAAACAAAATATGATATTCACCTTCTGGTAGAGATGGTGAATTTAAAATGCAGAAAGAGACACATTTTTGGACATGACCAATTTGAAAATTTGTTTTGCTGGTCCCTATATATTGAAGGCTTAATTTTTCTAGCTTGGCGTTTTTGTTTGCTTTTTTGTTTTGTTCAATAGGAGAAGGAAGAAGGGGACGGATTAATTTTTTTTCAATTTTTTTGAAGAAGCACTTACACATGTTCTTTTTCACATAATAGGTAAATACTTTTTGAATAAGAATTCAATAGGTTGAATAAAACAGAATTGACAGTATTTGCAATCAATTAGCAATGCTAATTGCCATTGAGTGCACTTCTGAGCATCTATGTCTCATAATAGTTCTTAATAAATTTAAAGAATTTCCCTTCTTCAGTTATTTTCCAATTGGCAGTCAAGACATTTTCTAATATTTGCAAATGGTATTGAAAGTAACAAGGCTGTTTTTAATTAAAACAACTGAAAACTTTCTGTAAACTGATTCTTTCATGGAATTAAGACTGAATGTAGACCTCATAACTCTTAATACTCTCTAAATACCTGTGAGACACTGTGCTAAAGTATCTGGCACTGATCCTATATTTGAAATGAAGGTGAGGTATGAATGAAGACAGAATCAAATAAATAGACATAATGCCTGAAAAAGTTGAGTATATTATATTCTTATAGTATATATACTATAAGAAATAATTTGGTAAAAAGAAAAATTATCTAATGGGGATGGGCGAAGGGCCAGAGTAAAGACAACATTATGTATTTTGCAGTACCATCCAACTAGTTTTTAAAAATCCTTCTGTTGGCCTGCATTGCAACTATATCAATACTATTGAATAAACACAGATACTTGTCAATTCTGTTTGTCACGTGTCAAAACTAAAATTCCTCGGGAAAATTTACTATGTTTTAGGGCTTCATCACATTTTTGGCTACATTAAGAACAGTAAAGGAGCCCTTTTGTTAAATTATGTAGCTCTGATTTTGTTTGCAAGAGCTAAAATTAAATTGTCTCACATAAATACTGAGAAGGTAATTTTTATATTCACATCAATGGGCCACAGTGCAACCACAAAAGACCTACTCACAATTCATACTATGATGTTCAACAGCCTGATGGCTTGACTAGTAACACAATGTGTTACTTCATGGGAGTTTCATGACCTATAGGTTCTCACGCCTTTGGACAAGGAAAGGGTGGCTGGCAGCACTTTTGCTGGGTCTAGGGTAAAAGGGGCAAGGAGCATGGGGGTATACTTGTGATTGAAGGTCTATTCTACTGAGAGGAACTGATCCAAAGAGAGTAAAAGATGTAGTGTTCAAGAATGAGGGTAGCAAAAGAGGGAAAAGTGGTTAAAAAAAATACAAAGACTTTCCTTGTACCAGTACTCTAATGCTTCTCAGGAATAAGATGCTTAACATACTGACTGGTAAATTGTGATAAAATTGGTGTCCCAGACCCTAAGCTGGGAATGACCATGAATTCAGCAAATATATGTATATATATGTATGTGTGTGTGTGTATCAAAATTTCTAAATTTCTTCTCTTCCTAATGAGGACATCACAGGGAGTTTTTTGGATATGAGATAGCCCTAAACTTGTATGGGGGGAGGTATATACTGGCTGAGAGATTAAGACAATGTAATACTGAACAAAAGGACAAGAAATGGATGAGTGGCTGGGTGCTGAGCATCATCAACATGATACCTTCTCAGACAGCTACAAATCAGTGAAAGATTATGTTTCCACATAATATATTGGGGGGCATGCATGGCAGTATCACTACTTCCTGTGGCAGTCAGGTTCTGTGATAAGAAGGTGGGTTGAGAAACAGAATTCTAATTGTAGCTTTTGCATTTCTATGTGGGGTCTAAACAACATCAAAGTTTGCTTACTTCTATTTCTTTCTATCACCTGACATTTATATTTCTATTCCAGTAGCAGTTCTTTGTTTTTGTTTTTTAATGCAACTCCAATGCTTGCAAGGCTTATAGAGTTATCTGAATCAGTTGGCTTACAACCAAAAACATCAACAAATCAATTCATAAGCACTTATTAAGTGCTTACTATGTGTCAGGCACTGTGCTAAATGCTGAGGATGCAAATACAAAGAATGAAACAATCTGTACAAGCAAGGAGCTTACATATTAACCAAGAAGACAAGTATATAAAAATACAAAAAGGAGAAATATAAAGTTAATTGATACAAATATATACATAATAGTTAAAGTCCAGATAGGATTGTAATTCAGAGAACTTCTATGTAGGCAGGTTGGTCAGAACTTGGGAACAACCGACTCAGAAGAGTCTATTTACATCTAGATCTTTACTAACCACTCTAGTAAATTTCCCCCAGATGACCAAACTCATCAGGGATCCTTTGGATCTCCTATATTCTGGACTGAGTGAGATCTAGATCAGAATTTGAATGTTGTTTTTAGACTCAAGTGAGCCTATCTAATCCCAATGTTGACCCAAAGGGAGGACTGGAGGCCCCCCAGCACCTAATACAGTACCTAAGATAGAGTAGGTACTTAACAAAGACTTGCAGATTAAGCGTTCATTGATTTAAGTCCGTCTCAGGGTTTTGTGATATAAAAATACTCAGTATCTTGGTTTAGACTTTTGGGAACCTAGCCAGTATATAGTTAAGACATTTGACCAAATGGCCATAAGTCTGGAAATTATGGTGCCTCCTGAGGAATGATTATACTATGGCTCCAAAATTTCTTAACCCCCTTTCCCCCCAAAAAAGAACCAAGATACTGGTAAATTAGTGCATTTGAGACAAAAAAAATATTAAATTAGCACACTATTGTACTGAGATCCAAGTTCTCTTGTTAGATATATAATACATATCATATATGTACATATATATATGATATGTGTAGGTGTATGTGAGTGTGAATGTAGATGGACACCCTCTCTGCAATGTATATCATCTTGGACATTGCCTGTGGTTGTCAAGAGGAGACAGACATGTTTTAAAATGCAGATAATGCATTCAGCCTAGCATTGTATGAGAATTCAGATATTAAGTAACATGAAAATGAAGAGGTTATTCTCAGAAACAGCCTCCCAGAGAAGAAGATAGATGTCTTCATGGCCTCATTAATAAAATTGAAGCA